TTCTTTTCAGATCTAGGTTACACATTTGGGTGCCTGTCCTCATTTTCATTCCTCTCTTATTCCCATGTTTCCGAGCCAATTGGTAACTGGGTTCATGAACTTGCATGCCCAGGTTGCCTTTTGTAGTCCTCCCAACGTCCTCGGCCACCCAAACGGTGTATAGACCCTAGAAATTGTGGAAAGACGATTTGGAAGACGTGGTGCAGGTTTTTGCTCTGGTTTCATTCCCTGTAATATCTCACTACTCCATTTCTGTCTGGATTCCAACACTCAAGTCATCTTAAATGCAAAGCAGAGCAAGCAAGTCTCCATTCTGAGAGTGTCAGCGCCCCGTTGAACCCCAAGGCTCTCGTTCCAGCCTGTGTTGTCCTGTGTGCACTCTCCTCTCAGAAACACACATCGTACTCCCTCCTCCGTGTAGTTGCAGTGATATCGGGCCCCAGTCTTACAGTTGCTCGTGTCAACTCATGAGTCCCCACTGCTACAAAATCCTCTCCAGTGATCCCAGATGGAATCCCTTTCCCTTCCCTTCTTTCTGTAAGACTGGGGCCCAGATATCATTTCAAGGCATACAGACTCACTCATCTCCCTGCTTTTCTCCTGCAAGAGACTGAGTGCTGTCTCAGAGCTTCACAGTTTCTGCCTCATTTTCCTCAGTGACTAGACAGACACTTTGCACATGGGAAATATCAATCTGTATTTGTGGGTTTAGCTACCTTGATGCGAATTTGAACAGGTTGGAGTGTATGGCATGCTAGTTGTTCTGTTTAAGCTTGGGTTCTATTTATTTATCATCCCTTAATTACATTTCCTACTTCCTTGATTATTTGGCCTATGTGAACATTTAAATGTTGTGTGAACTTTTTATTTTGGCATCAGGATTTATTATACTTGCCATTTTGATAATAAAATTTCCTCTGCTGTGCTTTTATGAAAGTGTTTGGTTAAAGGCAAGGATGGAATTTTGAGCTTAAACTGGCTGGATGGTGGTTTGTCAGGGTGGTATCAACAATTTCCTTGTTTGCTTGTCCTTTGGCTCAGGAGTGGGATGTCTTGCTCTGGGACATGGAATAGTTGATCTTGTTGGTTGTGACTACATAGAAGCCTGAGGCTGTCTAGCACCCAGGGAATTCTGGAATGGAATCCTCTCTGAGATCATAACAGTTTGGCAAAGTAAAAATAGATTGGCAACGTAGTTTTCAGTTTGCAAATCTCTCTTGTGTCCATGATCTCTTGAGGCCCTTGCAGCAAGTGGCATAAATAGGTTAGTGCTTTAATTAGCACAGAAATAACCATCGCCGGAGTTGCTGAAGCAGAGCTTCCCATCCCAATCTCCTAGTTGCTCTCATGGGTCACTACATTTATTTCCTCCTCTACACTGAGTGTTTCCTCTCTAAAATGCCTACTTGTACATATTTCTAGATTTGTCACCATGAGCCTCCATTGAACAAATAGCTCCAAAAGCTCTTCCATCTTACCTAGGTGGCAGGTTAGGTAAAAAAGTCACTGCTGTCTTCATGGCAGACAATGGCATGTATGGTCAGCGCTCTCAACCTTGTTTTCTCTCTGAAATTTAAAGTTTTCTTCATCAGGCTTGAAGGAGTAGCCTAGTAAGAAATGCATTCAGTCTATCACCCCAAGCCTTGAAAGTCTAAAGCATTTGCTAATAATACTAACTTTGGTTACTGATTTGGGTGCTCTTAGGCAATATACGATCACTTGAGTTGTGATAGGTAATAAATTCCAGAGCCACATCTTCCCCTGGTATCATTTTTATCAAATTCACTTCTCTCATGGAAGAGAGTTGTGGGGCTGTTGTTTTTTGGCATATATTTTGTATTGCTTAGAGAATCAGGGAGTGTTTTCTTCTATGTGAGGTACAAAAGAAATGCCTGTCATCCCCCTTTCTTTTATGTTTTGGTGAAATCCTTTTTTACTGATCAGCAAGCTGTGAAGAAATAGAGCTTTGGCAAATTCATAGTGCAAAGATGTACTCAGATGCGTCTAGGCTATTCTTGTTAAGTAGATTTTGTAGAGGATTCTTAAAAGAAAATATTGGCTGTCACTAATAACATTTTGAGATGTATCTTTAGACACCATTGATCAGTGGTAATTGGAAATAAGGCGAGCATGCAATTAAAATAGAACTTGAAGTGAATTGTGCTAGCCTTGGCAGACACAGGTGCCAGGTTAATAGGAAGACTGGGGCGTTATATCTTGTTTCTATTAGTACTTCAGCAATATGCCCATTTTTGTAAGTGATATTTGTTTTATGTAAGGTATTTGACCATTCCACAAGCTGTCAGGACCATGATTGCTTGGGATTATAGAGATCTCAGAGCCATGAGACTTTTTGTGCACTGATGTTTATAGTTGTGAAAAATGTGGCAATGCACACATGTAGCATCATATGTTCACAACTTCCATTTTAGTAATGACAGAAAGCAAGAATTGCATAATGATTTTGAGGCCACATAGTATTTAAAAGTTTCTTTATAGAGTAAATGCTTGTTGGGTGTTTCTTGAGTGAGCTGCCAAAGGCTTACCTTGCAAGTTGCCAAATCTGTGTCCATGAAGAGTCCCTAGACCTCATGCAGTGATCCTGCTACTTGATGGGACATGTATTGCACTGAACAGAATCTCAAGGTATTTTGAAGACTGCCATTTATTAACTACACATGGTCTTGAGGAAGACTTAAGTCTAAGCATCTATATTAAATAACCTGACTAAACGGTTTTGCTTAAGACGGAGCTTCTGGGCAAAAAAAGAGTGTGAGCTCTGGGAATAAAGCAATAATATAGCTTTTGGGAACCAAACTAACTCTTTAAGCCACGCATCAAATGTAAAGTAGACACGTTTTTAAAGAATGTTTCATTAATATTAAAAAAATGGCATTCTTTTAAAATTGTTTTATTGGTCAAAAATTGTGTGGTTGTTTTTGAACATGTTTAGAAAACACTAAAACTGAGGACAAGCTGGTGTCAGTCTTGGAAAAGAATTATTAAAGAGTACAAATATACATACATATATATACTTTTTTTTTTTTTTT